CTCAGGGGAGGCGAGGCTCTTTCATGGCAGTGAGACCATCTCTAGTAAGTATGGCTTCTCCCAGCTCCTCCAGGCTCTTCCCAGAACCCAGTTCCAAAGCACACCCCCAATTTTCTGTTTCGGGGTTCTTCAGAGAAACAGAAATGTGAGATTCATAGACACGTGATTTATTGGGATTTATTATATACAGCGCATATCCATGCATAAAGAAAGAGCGACATAGAGATTTATTCCGAGGAATCACAGAGGCTGACAAGTGCCGTGATGTGCTGTCTGCAAGCTGGACACCCAGCAAGGCTGGTGGTATCATTCAGTCTGAGTCCAAAGGCCTGGGGACCGAGGACACCAGTGGTGTAAGCCCCGGTCCGAAGGCGGGAGAAGATGAAACGTCCCGGTTCCATCAAACAAGGGGTGGATCCCTCCTTCCTGCACCTTTTGTTCTACGTTTTGTTCTATTCGCCCCTCCGCCAACAGGATGAGGCCCACCCACACCGGGGAGGGCAGTGTGCCTGACTGAGCCCACCCATTCAAACGCTCTTCTCACTGCAAGTAATGTTTAATCTGGGCACCCTGTGGCTGGTCAAGTTGACACATAAAGTAACTGTCATACCAAATGACTCATTTTTTGAGGAGAGGGTCTAGACTGCATGTCAAGTTAGGTAGGTTCTAGCAAGAGCATATTCTGGAGCACGTCTTGGACCTTTAGTGGGAGTCTTTATCTTCAGAAATGGAATTTCTCTGCGTGGGCTGTTCAGTGAGTTGACAAAAGCTGTTGTGGGTAAGCACCTTCTTAGGCCAGACCACCTCATCTGGGGTCTCTTCTTTCACCCATAGACCGCACCGCAGTGATGTGTTAAAAAGAAATGGTAAGCCCTGGCTGGCGTGGCTCAGTGGATTGAGCACCAGCCTGCAAAACTGAAAGGTCGCTGGTTCGATTCCCAGTCAGGGTGCAGGCCTGGGTTGTGGGCCAGGTTCCCGGTTGAGGGTGTGTGAATGGCAACAACCTATTGATGCCTCTCTCCTCTTTCTCCCTCCCTTCCCCTCTCTCTTAAAAAAAAAAAAAAGAGAGAGAAAAGGGTTTCAGGTGTTGGGCCTTGGCTGAGTTTCCAGGCTTTCTGGCGGAGAGTGGCCACCCAAGGGCTCAGGGTCCACCACCTGCTTTGCATATTCCCAACCACTTCCCCTGCGACAGCAAAGACAGGAGAGGCTGCCTTTCTAGCCTCCTCTAGTGGAAACTCGAACTGCGTTGGTTTCCTTTTTCCGCTGTCATCAGGCTAGCCAAGCTGTTCCCTGTGCGGGCTTTAGCAGACACCAAGGCCAAGTTCTATGGAAACACCACTCAAAACAGAGATTATCCAGAGAAGCCAAATCTTTAGAGATAGAAAGCGAGATAGTCATTTAAAGAGACTAAAAAAAAGGCTTGGAAAAAAAAAATCTACAGAGGAAACACCGTGAGAAAAAAAAAAAAAAAAAAAAAAAAAAAAAAAAAAAAAAAAAAAAAAAAAAGCAGATTAGTAGTTGCCTGGTACTGGGGTTGGGAAGAGGGATTGACTGCAAATGAGCCCTAGAGATTTTTGGGGGGTTGAAAGGAAATACTCCAAAGCTGGATGGTGGTGATGGTTGCACCACTCTAACTTGACTAAAAAATTTCACACTTAAAATGAGTAAATTTTATAGTGTATACATTATACTATGGAGTTGTTACGCGTGCAAACACACTCAACAGATCCCTGAATGGCACAGTTTTGAAGACCATAATAGAAGTCTATTCTTTTGTTCTAAATAGCAAACTGAAAATGTTGAATAATAAAACTTTTATTGAAATTAGTCTGTCTCTTTGGATGCGGTAGCTTACTTTGAAGCAGACACTGCAGGTTTATTGGAGAAAGAGAATACATTTTTGAGTATGTAAAATTCCTTACTGTTTTATTTATTTATTTATTGACGTGAGAGAGAGAGAGGAAGGGGGAAGAGAGAGAAAGAGAAATATTGATTTGTTCCATTTATGGATGTATTCATTGATGGATTCTTGTGTGTGTCCTGACTGGGGATCGAACCAACAACCTTGGCGCATTGGGGTGACGCTCTAACCAACTGACTTACCTGGGAGGACCTCCCTACTGTTTTACTTTTGGACTGGGTGATTTTTAGAGAAACTTCCACAAGTGATGCTATATGATTCTAAATCACGGTACGCATTTGACAACTGCCTTATCATCTTGCCCACAAAGTCTCTTCCTGCCTCCGGGCCTTTGCACTTGCTATTCCCGGGTCCTGATGGGTCGTTCCCTAGATGGTCATGACCTGCTGCCTCACTGATGTTGCTGCTCAAACATCACTTCCTCCGAGCAGCCCTCCCTGATCCGCCCATCCAAAAACAGCACAGTCACTATCCCTTTAGCCTACTTCCTTTTTCCTCACAGCATTTAACCCTGGCTGACCTTACTCGCTGGCCTTACCACTGGAATGTCCGTGAAGGCCAAGCCTTCATCAGTAGTGTTCATTGCTGTATCCTCAGATCCAGGTACCTCATAACTGCTCAAGACATTTGTTGAATTAGTTGAGTATATTGCAATATGACTTTGAATATTTACCTCTTTTGCCCCTCTAACCAGACAGTAAATTCGTGGGAGGCAGCCAAAGACCCTGGCTGCTTCTTGAGCTTCTATAAAGCAGTTCTGCATGGATGAGACATTCAGCCCAGACCGACTGACTGAACGGATGCTCTGGAGCGTGTGTACCAGGCTAAGCAGGCAGTGTCCCCGCAGGCGACCAGGGACAGCAATGCCTCGCCCACCAGCCCACACGGTACAAAGTACTTTTATGTATATTAACTCATTCGATCATTTTCCCAATATTGTAGTAGTCCTTGAGGTTTGCGTGAAGCAATGAACAACACGCAATACAACAAATGTTCACTTCTGGAATGCAGTATTACATGAATACTTTTTGGGTAGGTGTGAGGTATTAGTGGCATTTAATGTGTTCTGGGACATCTGAAAAAAATATTTGAAAAGACTGAATCACATTTAAAATAAACAGATAAGTAAAATTTTTTTTTAAAAAAGTACCTTGACATATGTGTGTGCCTGGAGAGGTTTCTGGAAGACTGTTTATAACCAAGTCTCATAGTGGTTATTTCTAGATGGTGGAAACTTAATAGTGTTTATTTTGTTTGACTTTCCATTTTTCTCTTCTGAATTTTTAAAACATATTCAAAGTCATCAAAAGAAACCTATTTCTTACGCTGTGCTTTATTTTCATTTAATTTGTCAGGGTGAGTAGCGTAAAAATTGGTACTACTCGTCTTCTCGGCTATGTGATTCTCAGTATATAGCAAATCTCGATCAGACATTTTTAACACCGAGTTGTAGCAAAGCAACAACACACACAAGGAACCAACACTTTACAGGGTTTTCTTTTGTTAGGTTTTCCACATTTATGGCCATGTTATTCTCTCAGCAAGAAAAAAGGTAGAGCAATGCCTCGTGCATAGTTTCTCATCCTTTGCCAAAAAACTTTGCAGGATATTGAGCTCCCAAAACAGAAGGCCCAACGCTGGCACGGGAACGTGTTCTGGACTTTGGACCGGAGTCAGAGGTGCGCAGGTGCGCAGGCCATGGGCTTGTTCTCCTTTCTCTCTTCTGATGATCTGAAATACTTAAAATGACGTTTTCGTTGTTTTTTTAACCATAGGGATTAGGAAATCAGGCAAGTAAACCACCTCGTGGAAAATCTCTACTGATGCCAACAATATATCCTCCTCTTTTTAGTTTGAAAGGTTTTGGGTTTTCTGTTAATTCTGAACCAAGGGCTTTCAAGAGCGCCAGTGCGACTTAGGGCCAGCGCGGTGTCTTTACACATCCAGCAGCGCGACTGTCCCGCGCCTGTGCACCCGTGCGTGTTTCTGTGTGCGTGGCTGTGTAAAGTGGGTTTTGAGCTAATGTCTTACACATTCAACGAAGATGCGCGTGCAGCCCTGCAGGTGAGTGCAGGTTCCCCGGTCTGGCGGTGGGCTGCGGGACCATCCGCCTCGGCCTACGGCGCACCACCCGGGCAGGGCCGGGGCGCGGCTGGGCGGGCGCAGCGGGGCGGCCGGGCCGCGGGCGCGCCAGCGCAGCCTGCGTCGGGGCAGGGTCCAGGGCACGTGCTCGGGGGTTGGGGGACATCTTCTCCCTTCTGGAGGTGTGCTTAGAGCGGAGACCTCGGGAGGGGGTGAGACACCCGAGGACGTCCGGAAGGCCAGCGGGTGAGGGAGGACACCATGGGCGGGGCGGCGCCTCCCACCATCCAGTCCCTGCGGAGCTGACGGAGACTTCCGTCCGGCCTCACCCAGTCTCAGGGACGCGGAAACCGAGACCGCTGGCGGCGGCGCGCGCGTGGAGGGCACCCGGACGCCCAGGTACGTGCGGCTCGGTCCCCAGCCGGCGCCGGGACGGTTGGGCCCGGCAGTTGCGGGCCCCACCATGCCACCCCTCAGCCTCTGTGACGCACGGCGTGGCCTCCAGGGCTGACCGGGCGGCTTGGCACTGCGCGGCGCAGCGCGGCGCCCGCGCGGCGCCGGGCGGCGGGGGCGGGGCGGGGGCGGGGCGGCGCGAGCGGGGCGGAGCTGGGTGAGGCCCCGCCCCCGAGTCCGGAGGAGCGAGGACGCTACGGAGCAGGCGCGTCCCGCCGCTGCTGCCTCCGCCGCCACCGCCGCTGCCGCTGCCGCTGCCGCTCACCCTTCTCCGGAGCCGCTACCGCGGCCGCCATTTGCACGGGGACCCCGGTGACAGGGGCTCAGCGGAGGGGCGGAGGGAGGGGGAGGGCCCGCGGAGCCCCCGAGGGCGGGAGCGACGCCGCCGGCGCCGGTCGGACTCCCTGCGCGACCGCGCCGCCCGCGGCGGGCCCCGGGCAGCAGCAGCAGCAGCGGCGGCAGCAGCCGAGGCCGGGCGTGCGCCTGAGGCGCGGCGGCGGCGGCGGCCCTGCGGGCGGCGGGAGGGCGGGGGCAGCGGCCGCCGCCGTTTGATGGATCCGAGGATCGCCTGGTTCCAGCCAGAGCAGCTCGGACCGTCCAACAGTCTGTGGATGCAGATCTGGGAGACGACCCAGGGACTGAGGAACCTCTACTTCAACCACCACTGTCACAGCAGCGGCGGCGGCGGCGGCGGCGGCGCGAGCGGCGGTAGCGGCGGCGGCGGCGGCGGGAGCGGCGGCAGCCCCGGCAGCCCCGGCAGCCCCGGCGGCGCAGCCCCGGCCGGCATGTACCGCTCCGGGGAGCGCCTGCTGGGCGGCCACGCGCAGCCCGCGGAGCAGCGGGACTTCCTGCCCCTGGAGACGACCAACAACAACAACAACCACCACCAGCCCGCGGCCTGGGCCCGCCGCGCGGCCGCTGGCCCCTCGGCGTCCCCGGCCCCCTCGGCGTCCCCGGCCCCGCACCCCGCGGCCGCCGTGCCCGCCGCGGAGCCCGCTGACCCGGCCTCGGGCAGCAGCAACAAGAGGAAGCGCGACAACAAGGCCAGCACCTACGGACTCAACTACAGCCTGCTGCAGCCCGGCGGAGCGCGGGCCGCGGGGGGCCGCGACGGCAGCGGGGGCGCTTACAGCGGGACCCCGTGGAAGCGGAGGAACTACAACCAGGGCGTCGTGGGGTGAGTGGGGGCCCTGCGGCCTGGTGCCTTGGCCTTTGCACACGCGCAGCGGGGCACACGCCCACAGAAGGGGGTTGGGGGGAGCAGGGCCAGGCCACCCCCCAACCTTGGCCCCCTTCGTTGCTGCTTGGGGGGGCCTGATGGATACCCCTTCATCTGTCCACCATCTACACCTTCCCCTCACCCTCCTTAGCGGTCCACACCCTCCCTCACCTCCCTTAGTCATCCACTTGCTCCCTCTTCCCAGCCCACATCTCCTCCGACCCCCCTTACCCATTCATTCTTTTCTTCCGTTGCCCTCCCCTTCCCCCCCCCCCCGCCCGCCCCCGCCCCAGTCAAACACACCTTCCCTCTTGGTCTCCCCTGGGCCTTCCCCACCTGGCTCCTGTCGTTACACCCCAAGATGAGGTGGTTTAGCACAGGCAAATCATTAATTCCCTCAGAACATTCCTGTGTTAGTGCCTTTTGATGGAACAGGACCTGGAGGTGCTTCGCTTGCCAAGAATAGAAACATCCAGAAAGCTCCTCCCCCTCCCCTTCCCCCTCCCCCTTCCCCCAATCCCAAACAGGACTGGGCAGCTCAGTGAGGCTTTGCCTGCTCTCGATTCTTCAGTCCATCCTTTCTTTATTTTAAAAAATGTATTACAGTAGCAATGCCATGTTCCGTGGGGAGTGAGGAGTGGGTGACGGCTAAGTTGAGGCTGGTGGAGGCAGTGAGCTTTTCTGAGGCCGCTGGAACTTTCTAGGAGTTCCTGGTCCTGGGCCCAGCCTCTGGTGGTGAAGTTGTCACCGCGCTGAGGCAGCCAGCGCCGTTCTCCCCCGGGTGTAACTGTGTGCTGGTGAGCGAGGTTGGCACCACGGGTGAGTGTCTGTTTAAAGTTCAACTGTTACAAAATGCGATCTTACCTGACCCCGAGTGAATTAGGTGCAGAAGCAGGTAGACTTTCTTTCTGGGAAATCCCCTGGGCTGGGATAGGTTACTGAGTGTGTGCGTGTCTACCTTGAGTATGGGGAATGAGCTTTCACACTGCTTCTCATTTTCCAGACCCTGGTTGACATCGGGGCCCTGGTAGGCGGATGAAATCACAGTTCATAATCCTGCATGAAACCTTTCCCTGGACTCGCCCCTTCAGGTCTGCCCTGCCTTGGCAAGCCGAGACAGTGTGGCAGGTCCGGGAAAATGAGTTGGTGGGCTCCACCTGCTTCTCGTGGGCCGCTGTCTGCTACATGCCACTGTTTACAGCTCACACCTTCTACGGAAAGTGCAGTGGAGCGTCCTTGGACTGCTGCTGGAGAGCCTGTCAGACTTGTCCCTCACTCTCTGGTGGCGGCGGGGAGCCTGGTAGGGTTGGGTCTGTTGCTGTGCTTCAAGGGCGCTCTCCATGGTCACTGCGTTTTCCTAAAAGGCTCCTAAGTCTGTCCTGTTAGTATTTCCAAGGTGGAGCGTGAACCTGTGGCCTAGGGACAGGCAAATTGATGTTGGGGGATTCTGGTAGTTTCATTTCACAGGAATAAATAAGCTCCAGAGAAGTGATTGCTGTCAACTAAAACTTTGAAGTTCCCCAATTTCCTTTTCTGAAGCTTCTGCAAGGGTGTCCCGCAAAAATGCGTTATGAAGTCCAGACTGCCAGCTGCCTCCTCCTGACAATTAGAAACTGTCCTGTCCTCTGCCTGCTCTCTGTTGTTGAGCATACTGCAAAAGGATCACACTTGAAGTTCCCTAGAAGCAGCACGGTCTTGTTCCTGTGTCAGATATTATATTGCCCTCAGAGGGATGAAAGAGAGGAATTTCTAGTTCCCAGAGGGATTGCTGTTTAAAAACTGCTGACCACTTTTCTCAGACTTTCCGTTTTTTTGCCTCCTCCATTATAAGATGTCAGCACTTCAAACTTTTTTATTTCATCAAGTGGTTCCTAAGAGTGTTTCCGTAAGAGCGTCTGGGCGGTTAAAACTTCTTGTTTAGATTTATGGATCCTTACTTCTTGAGGTTTGCGGAAGTTTTGCTATTTTTAATAGATATTTTAAAAAATCTGAGTTCAGAGGGTTATCTCATGGTATTCTCAGACTAAATATAATAAAACTGTTACGAGCACTCTCCGTCCTCAGCGTGTGCCTGACGCTGAGCTAGTAGCTTAGCCGGTGGTGGCGGTCCCTGGCCCGATCAGGAGGGAGCGGGGAGCACAGCGCGGGCACAGTAGACTCGAACCTTGGGACAGCTGTCTCCGCTCTCTCACGCCTGGGTTTCGCGGTGTTTTCTGCTTCAGCCAGCTGGTGACAGACCGCCTGAACACTCCAAGATGCCGTTCAAAATCCCGACTTCTCTGTGCCCGGTTTCTGGGGTTTTTTGGTTCCTCCTCTGAACTCTTGCTTGCTCCACACTGTTGGTCCAGCTTGCTGATATTTACTTTTCCTTTGATATATCTGTTTTTTCTTACCCACTAGGTCACTGGTAAAGCTGGACATTCTTCAGTGTAGATTATGGTAGCTGGGTCTCATCCTGAAGTCTTCATAGGCCCCTTTCAGCCTGCTGCCTCGGCCGCCTCAGCGGCCCACAGGCCCCGGGCGTTCGTTCACTTTCCTTTTCCTCTTTCTGAGGTCGCTTTCACTTGCTCTTCTCCCTGGGATTTATTTCCCTCCAAGGCTTGCTGCGGTGCAGGAAGCAGTCCGCCTGCCCCTTCTGGTTGCCCGTGAAAACGAGCCATCAGCCTCTTTCTTCTCAAAGATTGAATTGTTGATCACCCTGGAGAAAGGAGGTGACGAAAAGTAGCAAGTGCAGGAAACTCGGGGAGACTCAGAGCCCTTGGTCTGAGCCCCCGTGCCCGGCAACCGCTTGTGAAAGACTATCGGTGTTGTCCACGCTTGTTAGAAGAAGTTTGGGTTGGTGCCTCGGCAGGTCTGGGGATGTTTTCTCAAGGCGTGGACGACTATTTAAAATCGTGTTTGGGAGCACACATTTGATGAGGGGACACCAGGGAGACCCCCTTGGGAAACCTCAGTTTAAGGAGTAATCTCCCTTTTTACAAATAAAATCATTTTAGAAACATTTATTGATTTTTTTGGAGGGTGGGAGAGAGAGAAGAAAGGAAAGAGAGAAAAACAGCAGGAGAAGAATGTCGATTTTGTTGTTTCACTATTCACGGACTCGCTGGTTCATTCTGGTACGTGCCCTGACTGGGGATTGAACCTGAGACCTTGGTGTATTGGGATGATGCTCCAACCAACTTAGCTACCTGGCCAGGGCTGGAATAATCTTTTGAACAGAATGATGGGATGAGTGTGGAAAAAAGAACAAATGTGAGGTGAGGATGGAGAATATTACCTTTGTGGGTTTAATAATCACCTACAGCCTTGACCTTGAGTGGCTGGGGAAATGTTGCTGTTATTTTTGAAAAAAATAAAAGATAGGGTGATGTCAAGGTAGAGCTGTCCAGCAGGAAGTTGAAATTCGTGGGATGAGACGTAGTCGCCCTTACTGCTGAGCGGCTGCGTCTTCCCTGTGTCCATTGTCCCGCTGACAGCCGGTCCCTGGCGTCCTGGCCTGGCGTCCTGGCCGCCTCCTGCGTGTCTCCCCATAGTGGGACCAGTGAGATTGGTGTTAGTGCTGAGCGCCGAAGGGATCAGTCAGGCAGTATAACATGGGTTGAGCGTAAAAGAATTCAGAGGCCTCTTCCATGTGCTTGTTTGAAGTATCAATTCTGGGCACTTGCAAATGTAGCCCACAGTAATTCTTTAGTGAACTAGAACCTCCGGGTTATTAAATTTCGCTGCACTGGGTACTGAAATGTGCTTTCAAGATGACAGTATGTTTTCTACAGTGTGGAGTCTACAATAACAGTGTAATTTATATCTGAGAGTTTGTCAAAATCTAGTAAACTCTGTTCAGCTGAGTTGCTCTCACGCCACAACCCCTTCTCTCCAAACCCGTGGCCCGTGGGCACACTCGCTGTCGGAATCAATGGCATTGCAGCATGTGGGATCTTTCTCAACCTGCGCTAAGGCTTTAGCTGTTGACAAAGTGAGTGAGTGGCTTTTTAGTGTCTGCCCCGTGCTCACACGGAAGGTTTAGTATGTCACAGGAAGGGGAGGATGAGAAAGGGATGCTGGGAAGTCGAAGGTGAGTGTGTGAGAATGGCCCTGGGCCTGGGGGACTCCTGGGCCTGGGGTCCCCACTTCATCCAGGGAAGCCTGGTGTTAGGAGCCCAGAGGGCCCATGGGAGGAACAGTCAAGGGCACCTCTGCTGGTGCTGGACTCATCAGATGTGGTTGTGGTTAGATGTTCTCATACCTGCTGAAGCCGAGGAAAATACAAGCCGTTTTTTTTAAGTGGAAAATAGAAAAACAAGCTGTTACGTGATTTCACTCAGCTTTCTATTCTCCCGTCTGTTGAATCCATTAGAGTAACATGTAGTGGAGGAAGCTATTCCAGGATCACGCCCACGGCCCTGGAGAGAGTGTGTATTAAGCACAAGCGCACACACAGGTGTGTGGAACGGTCTTGAAAGGGCTCTAGGCCAGAGAGGACGCTTGTCTGAAGAACTCAGGTCCGGTTCCAGAAGCTGGGCTGCGACTCCTGTCTCTGCCCTTCCCTACAGAGCCGGCTGGACAGCTCAGCCCGCTTGGGGAACTCAGGAGCAGAGAAGAACGTCCTTTGCACCCCTCAGAACCTTGGCTAGGGACTCGGCTGCCGCAGAACGCCACAGTGGCTTCGGGTTCATTTACCACTTTTAAAATGACATGGAATTACATTTCTCTAAGAGAGTATTTACTGAAGTTGAAGATGGCCTTCTGAGCTAGACTTTTTATTAGCTTGGACCCAAAGAGCAGGGGAAGCATTTATTTCTATCCTGTAAGTTGCTGGTGATATAGAGACTTTTGTATGCCTGAGGGCTTTGGGCCACGTGGAAATTTGAGTTAAAGATTTTAAAAAGAAAAACCCCAAAACAAAGGACACCCTGCCACCGCCAAAATGCATGTGGGGTCGTTTATGTTGTGCACTGGCT